GAGCTGTTTATGGGTCGCTGGTTGATTCAATGACCTTGTCAGCCAAAAAATTAATTTTTGAGTTAAATTTTTAATGAAGATTATTCAGGTCTCCCGTTTTCAACGGAAAACTTTATTGTTTTCGTTCGGTTTCTATTTCCTTATTATTATTCTTTTTTCTTACCGATTTTTATGCACTCGAATTCTCAGAAACTCTTAGATCTTATAAATATTGATCCGAACCTTATTGGAAATTTCTTATATTGATTGCGTCACTTCTGGTCGTGAGATACATGTATGGACGATTTTCTGATTTTCAGAGGGTCAACATGTCCTGGCAATCACTCCAAAACAAATAAAGATACTGAATCCACTAATGATATCTAGTAAAACTAAACAAGATCTAGCAAAACTACTTTTTTTAGATAGTGAATGTATTTGCAGTAAATTTATTAGTCTTCAATGTGACATTCACTATTTATTTTTTAAAGTATGTGGTTTCGTAAATGTTAAATATATCAGTCAGCAATATTTAAATTTATATATTTTAGCTGCTATTTTTTCATATATAAATTTAATTACAATGAATGAATGTTTAGTATACAATATACACCAAGAACAGGAAGAAAGGTAGAATAATTTTGCAAAAGGGGTTTTATTAGAAAAATTGACAAAATGTTTTCAAGACATGAAAAGAATGCTGACTTTATATGCTTGTTACTAAATCTGCTGAAAAAGAAAAAAAGCAATTATAACACACTTTATGGTAATTCTAAATTAGCTTTACAAATGATATCAATGACTCTTATTTGCATGTGTAAATCCAACATTGTGTTTACTAGTGTTTCTCAATTATGAGTTGATGAAATGATGAAGAAATAGTATAGTATATTTGAATCTTTACTACTAATGCTGTAGTTTTTTCAGTCAAGTTACACCAACAGTTACAAATATCAAGATGAAATTTTGAGAATCAGGTTAATCCAAGGTCTATGCTTTTTTATGAACGCCGAATGCTACATTTACCAATAATTGTAAACCATTGAAAAATCAGGTTTAAACAACTTGAAAAAGTAATATAACATTTAGAAAATTATACCTAGAACTAAAATTTCTGAGACTTTATAACCGTAAATAAAATACATGTATGTCGGTGATAAGAAAAAGAAAAGGTGTTCATAGCCTAAGTACACTTATCAATAGGAAACCTTTATGTTCGTTTGAGCCGAAGGCTCAAGGGAACTTTTCTGATCAAAATTTGTCCGCTGTCCGTCGTCATCGTTTTCGTTGTAGTTTTTCGCATTTTTCATCTTCTTCTCAATAACCAATGGGCCAATTTCAATCAAACTTGCAACAAAGTATTCTTATGTGAAGGAGATTCAAGTTTTTTATATGAAAGGCCACGTCTTCTTCTAAAGAAAGATAATTATGAATTAGTGATAAATTAATTGCATCTTTTAAAATTCTTTTTCTCCAGAACCACTGGGCCGAAATTATGAAACACATGTGGAATCATCCTTTATAAATCAAGGAATATTTAAATTTGTTCAAATCATGACCCCCAGAGGTAGGATGGGGCCATAATAAGGGATCAAAATTTAACATAGAAATACATGAAGAACATCTTTAAAATCTTCCCAAGAAAAGCAAAGGTGCCATAGAACAGCAATACTGCCATAGTTATATGGAAACATTATCTGGTAGTGTAGATTTAAGTTTGTTCAAATCATGAACCTCAGGCGTAGGGTGGAGCCACAATCGAGTATCAAAGTTTAATATGGAAAAACATAGGAACGTTCTTTAAAAAATCTTCTCAAGAACAGCACAGCTTTCATTGTTCATATTCACATGGAAGTTTTCCCCGGGTAGCGGGTTCAAATCATGTTCAAACAGGGGAATATATACAGGAGCCTAAAAGTGCATCATAGTTATACAAATGAAAATAATGGCTATGTATCAATACTTTAATCTTATAGACAGCAAAGTCATTATGTATCATATTTTTCGTACTTAGAAAATACTATTGCGAATCAAATTACTTTGAGGTATGAACACCATACTGATGTGATTGCTGTGAACTGTTGCATAAAGAGTGTAAGTTCACGAACAACGAAGTTTAAGTCAACTTCTGACGAATTGCAGTAATAAGCTATTTTTTCGCAAGAAACAGAAATTTGTAGCCGCGAATAAAAAATTTTTTAAACAAATTACAAACTTCTTCCGATTAATTGGAAATGCATACTGACAACTTAAATATTCGTTTGAAAAGAAAAAAAATATTTTATTGCAGAAAATAAGATATTTCTAAGGATGAATTAATAATTTGTTCATGATTATATTACTTTAATGAAAAAAGCAAACAATCCTTGATATCAAAACGTCTTTCGTGTAAAACAACCTTTTGACCGTTTTTTTCTAGAGTAGATGAGTATTTTATTTTTCGTTCTCATTCCTTTTTCTCTTTTCTCCAATTCTTCTTGATACGAAAATTCCGACATCTTTTAAGGTTCTGAAGTGTATCTTCTGGAAAATCAAATATACCAGTTTGCATGCAACCTTAATTCTTTTTTTATTAATAGTTTCCTGCTTTCTCAGAGATTTCAAAGGACTTTGGTAATTACCAATATTTACCCCCAAAATCAAACTTTGATAGAGGAATATTTAATCATGTTCTAAAACAGAGGGATCTATTCCGATTTTAAAGCACTGAATATTTTCATAAGCAATGACGTTATCTGTTTGAAATGAGGTCAGGAAAGTGACATAAAATTAAAATTCTATGATTTCCACAGAAAAATGTATATACATGTATCACATGGATATTTTGACTAAAAGTCACCGAGCGTAAGTCTTCTCAGGCTCAATATTTTGATATAATGTGTAGAATGATAATATCAATGAAATAATTTATGTACATTTTTTTCTGGAGCAGATTTGCGTTCTATCAATTTTTTTATCTCATACATGTTGGGTATACAGCTGATTAGATAAACTTATGCTTTATCCACGGGTAGATGCTTTATTGATAGCACTTCCGATTTTTACACGATCTCTCGCTTCAAGATTTTATTTTATTGAAACTTTTATATGTGAAAATTAGTGGCCTTATAAAATGAATGATAAAGAGCGATAATGTATAAATTTAAGAAAAAGACTCGTATATGAAGTGTCTTATTTTATCAAGGAACCTGTATTGTCTTCTTGAAGACTGGTGTTATTCACTATGTAAAAATCGTTTTTGGAGAAAGTGAAGCCAAGCAGTTGCGTTGTTTGTTATAAGATTCCTTTAACATCTTCAATAATGCTTTCTTATATTATACTCCGTATGCTTACTTAGTAATGTAGGTGTAACTTACCATGGATCAACATTGAATCTACAAGTAGGCCCCTAGCCTTGCCTAGTACGTTTTGCACTGCCACCGTACGAAGAATTTTCACGATCCCTTGGCCCTCGCAACCTTCAGATCCAGCAACTGTCACATGTTTTCAAAGACGCAGATAGCAAAATTTGTAAATTTTGAACACGATCTACTTTCTTTCGAGGCATGTAAACATCAATAGTGCTACGTCATCAAGTTATAAGGCATCAATTTAATAAGCACTCATTTATGTAGTTTTGCAAAGGAAATCTCACATTTTGTTAAAGCGAAAAGTCATATGAGATAAATAGAACATTTATAATTGTGTGATTCAATATTTGCTTTATCCAACTCGTTGAAGAAGGATATGGAAATAACGAACAGTATTCAATCTCAAGGTCCATAAAACAATACAAAATAAGAGCAGAGCAAACAAGCCTCGCGAATTTCTACACCATTTCAACTCGTTGAATAAAGAAAATATCAAATCACGCAATATAGATATCCTCTTTATAGCTAACAAATGTTGCAATATTGTCCATTTTGTCCTCTTTCTAAAAAAAACAACACAAAATCTGACTACTTTGTAACGTTATAAAAACAAAAAGTGTCAATAATCTACTTTGAAATTATAATATATTTTGTTAATTTATACTTATACTATTTAAACAATTTAGCAGATCTTAAGAATTTTTCAAAATTTGACTTTTGTTGGGGCAAAGACATGCAATATACCGCATGTAGTCCTTTTACTCAAATTGCTTACCTACAGCGATCAAATTATCCTTTTTGTAATAAAAAAGTTGTGACCAAATAAAAAATTAAGAAAATATTCAGCAGTCGAAAGTTGTCATCATATTAATATAAAATTTTTGATTACAATTTTAATAATTTCTACATCTAATCTACTCAACTTTGATAATGTGCTGTTGAAAAAAAAATGTTTTTATATTTTATTTACTGTAGCAGTTACTAATTTTAAAATTCGTATTTCACATGTGTATTCCTTGTGCAAAGACCTTTCTTTGGATACAACCACATTTGACCTTTTGACCTTAAACTTGTAGTTTGACCCACTTTCTATATAAAAATTCCAAACTTTTACTTTGGCCATAACTTTTGAATAGTAGGTACTATGACTTTCATTTCTCACATATATATTCTTTCATAGGATACTTACAACTTTGATCTTTTGACCTTGACCTTTGAGATTTACTTACTTTAAAAAACTTAGAGCATAACTTTTGAATGTTAGGGGATTGGGCTTTTCAAATATGTAATCCTTGTGATAAGACCTTTCATTGGATACCAAGAACTTTGACTCTTTTTTCTTGACCTTGGAGTTTTAGCTACTTTTGAAAATCTTTAACCTTGGTCACAACTTTTGAAGGGTAGATACTAGGTCTTTCATGATTCACATAAGTATTTTTTGTGGCAAAACCTGTCAATGGGGGAGGTCACGTGGTTATTGGCCATGGCGGTCGTGTTTTTTTAGTGGGAGATCTTTAGACCAATTTTTGAGCTTATCAGCTGTAAACTGGTCCCGGAAACTTGCCCAGTAACTTATTTTCAACATTGTGAAAGATTGGATTTATAAACGAGGAAAGTATTTCTACTACTTAGAAAATTGCATTATTTCCTTTGTTTTTACTTTGTGAAACAATGGTGCGAACGCGTAAGGACTCTAAGAGGATCCTCACTCATGAGTACGATTCAAAGCAATCAAAACTATCAAGGGCAGCCGACACTAAGGAAAGCCAGCCGTTCCCCTCAAGTGGTTTTGGACATTTAAATCCGTTTCAAGCAACGGCAGCGTTTGCTCCTAATATGGAACCGTTAACAATAACGGAACCTTACAAAACTCTTGCCAAATTATCACAAGATGTAGGAGACATAAAGGCAGATTTGTGGGAGAAGGATGGCTTGGATGACAAGATTCAATGTGTGGCCGGGACTCAGGAAGAAACTCTTTCAGACATGGAGCTTTTAAAAACGGAGAATGAAAAGCTAAAGAAAGACATGGAAATGCTGAAGTCTGTTGTTATCGAACTTGACAGAAAAGTTTACCAACAAGAGGCTGAGATAACAGATCTTAAAGGGAGATCAATGAAATTCAACATTTTGATACACAATTTAGAAGAGGATTGTGAAGAAGTATTGAGAACAAAAATTCCTAATCTAATCAAAGAGCATCTAGGTGTAGAGGGCGTTGAGTTTTCAAACATCCATAGAAACGCCGGAGAGGTAAAGCCAAACGGAAAGCCACGAACCATCACCGGAAGGCTCATGAGAATCGAGTACAAAGACGAAATATTGAAACAACAGAAGGCGAAGAAGGAGGGTGGAGCGGAACTACCGTTCTACATCACACCACAATCACCCCCACAGATGAACGAAACCAGTAAAAAACTAGTGGAAGTAAATAACAAATGTTGGCAGGAAAACGTCAAAACTCGTATCATTGGAGATAAGCTTGTTTTCCCAAACAGGACTGTTTATAAGGATAATGTTTCAACTCCAAACGCAGAGGAACTTCTACAAATGGACAGTAAGGAGATCGAGAAAATTGAAGGAATCTCGACCAAAAGATCAGACACTCACTCAGATGGGGGAAATCAATTCAGTGCGGCGGCAATTGTGATTTCAAGGATGATGGGGAGACATCTCGGGCCAAAGCGTTTCCAAATTATGGAAAACACCATGATGGATGCTTTAAATAAAGTTTAAATATAATTCATCAAACTCGCAGTTCTAGACTGTATTTGGGTAATTAAACACTGTGATATTTCCAGGTTATATTTATAATTAGTAATCATGGAAATTACTTTTTGTGTTTGAACTTTGGATATGCCTTATGAGTTAAGGCATGAATTTTTTTTTCCGGAGATTTACAAAGTTTGTTGTTCCGGTTTTCTCCATAATGTTTATACAGCGAATGTTTATTTCCGGTAACGGGAAATTCGGCATGGGCTGAAACAGTAAAAGCTTAAAAGGTATGTGAATATACAGGCTCCATTTATCATAAATCTAAAAGCTCTTTTTTTGGTCTTAGATTTTTCACTGAGGAGCATTTTGCTGTGTCATTTTTTTCTTTGTACGGACATCTTTGCTTGCTTTTGTTTGCAAAACCATTTGCCTCTTTTGTTAGTATTTAACAGGTTGGGCACAGCCTACCAAATGGTACTTTATCCCCTGTTTGGTAGATAATCTACCATATCGGTAACGAATTTTACTGACTAAATGGGGGACAAAATTGGTTGTGTTTAATTCCATACTGAGGAGTGGAATTTCGCATTATTTTAAACCATGTGGGATAAAATATAGATATTTATCGGTGTTCTGGATGAAAAAAAATAAAAAAAAATTATGTGCAATTTTTTGCGCAGATTCGTTCAAAAATTTAACAAAAAAAACGTAGCTTATGTAAACAAGTGCAATGTTTCTCTGTTTTTTAACTTGAAAATTCTCTCTTTCTCCAGTTGCTGCACCTGTCAATCATGTCCTTTACTTTCTATTTCGATTATCCGGGCAACCAATCAATTAGTGCAAACCAATCAAAACGATGTCTTTTTTTAAACCTAATTTTTAACAGGAGGCACATCCGTGTTAATTTTCAACTAGGAAATGGGAAGAAAAAAAAGTTTTGCCTTTATTTCTTTTTATTTTGAACACAATGGCTTTGTTCTTCATAGATATAGTAAATGCAGTTGGAGTATGACATAATTATTGTTTAAAACGATGTACTTGGAACAAAAACAAGAATAATGGTAAAAGTCATTTTGTACATCTTTTATTGAATCTTATTTTTCGAATTTAATCAATTCACCAGTAATATGCATATTAAACCCCAAAAGGTCGCATAGAATCTGCAACTTCATCCTAAAACAAAAATGACAACAAATATAACGTACAACTCTGGAAAAAATTAACTTTATGGCAGGAAGTGTCCACCATACCGGTAAGGCCATGAGGAGCTCGTGTTTAACAGGATTTTATGGAGATAAACATTGACGAAGATCCAAAAAGAGATTGAAAGTTAACTCATCAAGAGTTAAATCACTGTATAAAATTAGACTTTTATCCAACAAGACACAATAAAGATTTGTTTTATCGTTTGATCAAGAAGTTCGGCTGTTACAGACAACTATGGGTATTGTTTTTACGAAGTTACGGAGAAATTACACATAGAAATTCGACCGATTTATGCTTATTGTGCAAGGAATATGTTTACTAAAATCCCCAAATGCCTAAATAAACGCGCTTTTGTTTTATTTTAATAAAAATTGCAATAGAATAAAAAAGTCCCCCATTTGGTCAGTAAAATTTGCCGATATGGTGTTTGCAAAACGGGGGATAAAGTACCATTTGGTAGGCTGTGCCCAACCTGTTTAAGGTGGGGGTGAATGTATGAACGAGTATGAAAGTGTTTATTATATCGGATTACTTGCTTGGAGGTTGCTTAATGTTTTGAAAATGTTTACGAATGAATAATGCCGTGTCGATTGCAACAGTGAACTGTCAGGGGCTGGCAACACCTCAGAAGCGGCGTGATGTTCTTAATTATTATAAGAAAAAGGGTCTTTCTATCCTGTGTTTAAAAGATGCACATTTTACTGATGATTTAGAACCATATGTAGAAGCTCAATGGGGATATACATGTATTTTTAGTTCTTTCAGGTCCAATTCACGTGGTGTTAGTGTCCTATTTAATAACAACTTTGAATTTAAAATCCATAAAGAAATTGTGAGGGAAATCTAGTTGCTCTAGATATAACAGTTGAGGATAAGAGATTAACTCTTATTAATGTTTATTGTCCAAATCTCGATTGTCCAGAATTTTATGAAAAAAATCGTGAAATTTGACAATGAATATTTCATACTATGTGGTGATCTAAATCTTGCTTTGAACCCTGCTATCGATACATATAATTATACTCATGTTAACAATCCAAAGGCTAGAGACAAACTGATAGAAGTTATGGAGGATCTTCATACTGTTGATTACTTCCGGATTTTGAACCCCCCAAAAAAGGTGTACACATGGAGGAAAAAAAATCCATTCAAGCAAGGTCGGCTTGATTATATTCTTATATCTGAAGGTTTATCCAACTTAGTAGAAAATTTTACAATAAAACCTGGCTATAGATCAGATCATTCTATTGTAGTTTTAGAACTTAAGTTCAACTCTTTTGAGAGAGGGTGTTGCCTGTGGAAATTTAATAATAGTTTGCTGTATGACATGACATATGTGGAAAATTTTAAACAAGAAATTAAAACAGCAAAATTGAAATATCTACAAAGCAAAACATCTATTGATGATATTTTCTGTATTGCTGACAGTTCATTTTTAGAAGTTCTTCTAATGGAAATAAGGGGAGTAACCATTTCATATTCCTCATATAAGAAAAAGGAGAGAGATGAACGTGAAAAATCATTAGTAGAAGAAATAGAAGAATTAGAGTTACAAAATAAAAGCAACGCAGTTAAGAAAAAAAATATCTCTCGAAAATTTAAGAAAAGAAAAAATGCAAGGTCATTTAATAAGATCACGCGCGAGATGGGTTGAAGAGGGTGAAAAGACCACAAAATATTTTTGTAATTTAGAATCCCGTAATTACATAAACAAAGTAATAAAAAGGGTTGATATCGATGAAAGTAATACAATTTATGATCAGTGTGAAATTTGAAATCAAGTTAAAATTTGTTACAAAAACTTAAATACAAATAGAGACTCTGAACTTATTGATTTGAATCTCACTGATATTATTGATCAATCCGGAAGTAAAAAACTTGATGAACAAACATCTAGCCTCTTAGAAAAGGAAATTGTTGAAAGTGAAGTTTAAGTGGTTCTGAAAAATATGAAAAATAATAAATCACCTGGAAGTGATGGATTCACAACTGATTTTTTTAAATTTTTAAAATGTTATATTCTCAGAGCAATAACTTGTATTTTCAATAAGCAAGAATTACCAATTTCCCAAAGACTTGGCATTATATCGTGTATACCAAAGGGTGACAAACCAAGACAATATTTAAAGAATTTGCGCCCAATAACTTTATTGAATGTGATGTATAAACTTATATCTGGCTGCCTAAGTTATAGAATAAAGACTACCTTAGATTCCCTTATTTCAGATACACAATCTGGTTTTATCAAAGGTAGATATATAGGGGAAAACACACGATTTATTTATGATCTTATGTCATATACTGAGTCGAGAAATATACCAAGTCTCTTAGTTCTTATTGATTTTGAAAAAGCCTTTGACTCAATATCATGGTCTTTTATTTACAAAGTACTAAATTATTTTGGATTTGGAAATAACTTCATTGATTGGATCAAAATTTTGAATACAAATTTTAAAGCATCTGTTCTGCAATGTGGACATTTATCTGAACAAATACATATTCAGAGAGGATGTAGACAGGAATATCCTGTTGCACCTTATTCATTTCTCCTCTGTGCTGAAGTCCTTGCTATTCTTGTGAAACAAAATAAAGACATTAAAGGCATTATTATTCAGGAGAAAGAACATAAAATTTCCCAATATGCTGATGACACTTCGCTTGCCCTTGATGGTTCACCAAAATCACTTTTTGCAGCTCTTGACACTTTGGATTTTTTTTCACGGTTATCTGGGTTGAAAATAAACAGTACTAAAACGAAAATTATTTGGATTGGTTCAAAAAATTTTCAAACCAAGTTTTTCACCACCCGAGATGGAAGTTAGATTGGGGGTCAACCTTCTCCTTGCTAGGCATAAATTTTTCAGTAGATTTAGAAACAATAACCGACATAAATTACGATCTAATTCTACCTAAGGTAAAATCATTGATTCAACAATGGAATCGACGAATACTAACACCCATTGGTCGAGTCACTCTTGTTAAAACCCTAATATTACCAAAACTGAATCATTTATTTATTTCTCTTCCTGCACCTAGCATTGACAAATTTTCCTCATAAAATAAAGATATTTTTCAATTTGTATGGAAATCTAAATGTGATAAGATTAAGAGAACAATAGTTACTCAGGATAATCTGTCTGGAGGTTTAAAGATGGTAAATATTGACAATTTTATGAAATCCTTGAAATGCACTTGGGTCAAAAGACTGTTGACTGAAACAAACAAACCATGGTTTGATATATTCCTGGCAATTAATGGAAATGATGTTATAAAACAAATTTTAGATTATGGAGATGAATACATTTCTAATGTCATAATGTCAAAGAATAATCCATTTTGGCTGGATGTTTTTAGTTCTTGGAAATATGTTATGAAAAAGGTAGAACATGACATGGACATAAAAACTAAGGCTTGTAATATTCCAATATGGTACAACTCAAACATTAAGATTGAAAATAAGAGTATTTTTATAGAAAATTGGTATCAGAAAGGTGTCAAAACTGTTGGAGATTTTCTGTCTGAAGAATGAATTTTTCTTTCAAAGTCTGCTTTTCAAAACAATTTTAATCTTCCTACTGTAAATGTAATGCAGTACAATAGTGTTATTAGTGCCATTGCAAAATGTTTTAAAAATATGACTATTTAGAGAACAATATTGAACAAAAGTTGTCTACCTTATTTACCTTTTTATTTTGAATATATCTTTTCGAATACAAAATGTTCAAAAATTATTTACAATGTCATAAACAAAAATTGTTTAAAGCCCACAGCAATTTCAAAGTGGAATTCAGAGTTGTCTTCTCATGGAGTGAATG